CCTGGAAGCCAATGGCTCTTCTCCCTGTGGAGTCACCAGGGCTCAGCTGGACAGCTGCTCTCGGTTTGGCCGGAATGTGCTCAGCGTCTTGTTCCTGTGCTGGGAGCCTGCTCCCATTGAGAGGAATGCATTGAGGAGCTGGCTGCTGCTTCCAGCCATCGAAAACCAACATCAAATCTTTTAAATTTTACATAACACATTTATGAGCAAGTGATCAGGTGAAGAAAGGAGGAGGTTTTCATGCAAAACAGATCGCTATGGTAATTGCAAAGGCGTTATTTACTGAGTGAGCTGCTGGGAGAAGGTCACCGCAGAGGGAGCAGCGACCAAGACTCTCTATCAGGGGATTCTGGATGTGGATAACTTTGGAACAGAAACCCAGACTGCTTCCTCCAGCGAGCAGCGTACGGGAGCCGCCTGCAGATACGTGATCGGGGTCTTTGCTGTGACACGGGGACACGGGAGCCGGGCTGGAACCGGCAGTGTGTTCTCACCTCCAGCCGTCGGTGCATTTAGCTGAGAAGCTAATCCGGAAGGAGAGGAGAAAAACAAATAGCTGAGCAAGGGAGGATGAGGGGCAGAGCAATCTGTTCCCAGAAGGGCAGCCAGCCCATCGCGCAGCTTTCGAGAAGCAAAGGCAGGAGGGGCAGCAGTCAGAGCCAGGAAGCAGCAGATGCCCTCAAATTTAAAAGAGACCTTCAACCGAACCAGGAACTGGGAGATACACAGAGACGGGCAGATGGGTTTAATCTGGGGGGACCAGCAGCTGGAGAGGGCTGCAGGGAAGTGACTCAGAGATGGGAACAAGTCTTTTTCCTCATCCCTCTCTCATTCTCCCCATGATTTCCTTTCCTTCCTTAACCAGGTGTTCTTTGGGGCTAGGCAAGCTGAGCATCATCGCTGTCCAGTGAGAAGCTGGAACATTGCCCTTAGAGTATTTGGTACCTCAGAGATGTAAATTTCTGTTCTCTTAGGTGGGACAGTCCAGAAGATCAGTGGAAGATGCCATCCCCATGCGCTCCCCACACCCACCGCTTGGCCCAAGAAGTCGTCACGGGCTCCGTCCTTTGGTGGCTGGAGAACCCGCTCATTGCTCACCACCGGTGAGTGTCACCAGCTGCTCCCTGTGCTGGAACGTCAGCGTCATATCCACCTCTGACATCCCTGCCTGTGTGGCAGGAATGGCACAGCAGGACCTAGACAGAAATAGCTTTGCTCTGTGATGAACCCTTTCATCTGCCTTGTCCCCCGAGGTTAGGCCAGTAGCAGGACACTAGGTGTTGTCCATGAACACTGTGGCTGTAGGCGAGGCTACGCATGTTGTAAAATCCTGAAAACCTTTGAGAAAGCAGAGCTGAAGGGGTGAAGTGAGACCAAAGCTCATTCCAGAGCCGTGGTTTGGAGCTCTGGCTCAGAAGCCTCTCACTCTGTGTTGACAGGCAGAGAAGGAACGTTAACGCTCTCCTGAAATACAGTGACACCAAAGTCTAAGGCCAGAGGTCAGATATTTAGTTCGGTTTTAACTGGTTCTCCATTTCAATAACGAAAATGGGTGCAGACTGAAGAGAGACTTCCAGTCCTGAATGACCTTCTCCTCTCGGCACAGGGGGCACCTGGACCTGCAGGTGGTTACGGTGGTGGACGTCCTCCTCATCAGCACTGGCCCAAAGAGCCTGCCTTTGCTCAGGCGGTGAGCTAACGCAGTTAAACAGGTTCTTTAGGTTTTAACAGTTTAACTTGGCATTCTGAAGGGAAGAGATGAAATAAAAAATTCAGAAAAATGCAGAGAATTGAACAAAAATAGGCATGCTTTTGTTGTGCCTGGTCTCAGTGTCCGCGTGCTGCAGTCACTGAAGCACAGCACGCCGCCACACGTTCTCTGAGTTCATCACGTTTGCTTCAAGGCTGCACTGTGAAGAGACAGTAGCAAAGCCTGTATTTATGGCCAAGGCTAATTTTGGATGCTCCAGTTTTAGGATGCTCAACTAGAGATGGCTAAAGGGGTCTGGCTCCTGGGGGGCAAGCTAAAAAGTTCCATTTCCTGAGGGTACCTGAGAATCACTCATCACTTCCAAATATCTTGATCAGTGCTATTTTTTTTTCTTTATGATGCTGCCTTTAAATTTTGTATCTGTTTTCTTTTTCCTTTTCTAGACCTCCTGGCGGCCAAACACGGCTCCAGGAAATATGCAACACCTCCTTCGCCTCGAGCCGCTTCGCAGCGGTGCTGCAGGAGGGTCTGTACCAAAGACTTCAAGCTCTAAACAGCAGTGCCACGCGCTCGAACACGATCAGCAGCTTGCCGGTGGGGTGAGGCCATTTTTCATTCTGAAAATAATATAATTTTAAGGACAGCTTTACAATATGGCTTTAGTATTCTAGTGCCCTGAACTGTGCACTGCAGGTGATGTGCCTTCCCAATGGTTATCAGCTTTTATTTATACTCTCCTTTTTAACCTCCCCTTGTTTTTCAAGACATTATCTTCCTGGTCTAATGCCCAGTTTTTGGTCACAGTGAGGAAAAATGTGGTGACTTGTGTTTTATAGTATAAAATCTCTCTGCATGTGAAATTTTCTCCCTCAACATAATTTTCTGTTATGTAGAGAGGAAGGCAGCCACCTGGTTAACACCAATAGCTCAGAAATACCTTCACGCAGTCTTACAAGGTTTCATCTTCATCTACAGCTGCAAAGTTGCAAAAATCTCTTCCCCCCCGCCCCGCCCCATTCCTCCTACCAAGTCCCACTAGTGGGTTCAGAGGAGAGCTTTTGGAGTAGCCAAACATGATGTTGGTATGCATGCAGTTACTTTCAGGTGAGATTTGGACTTGCCTTCTGTTCTAGAAAAACATCATGGAATTGGCTTTGTGTTAGGAGTACCTTGGGACGGGGGATTTTGGAGTGGGACTGTGACCTGCTGCCTCTGGCTGGCAGACACTGTGCAAATCGCTCCCTTCTGCTCTGCATTTGCTCTGTATTGCGATGGCCATGGTCCTTTCTCCAAGAATTTGATGGCACTAGCCACGTCTACTTGAATTGCAGGTGATTTAAATGGTTTCTTTAATGCTCACTGCTGATGAACACCTAAATCAGGTGTGGATTATGAAGACGTGATGCAGGGCTCAGATCCAGAGCATGCAACGTTTGCAGGATTTGTTCTCCAGATATCTTGCTTTTTGGGGCCCTGGTCCTCTGTTTGCATTTCATCCTGGAGGAGGACTAGACCTCCGCTACAAATGGGACAGAAGTGTGCTGAAGCACATCTGTTATAGTGGATGCCAAACGATGTGACTGTTGGAAGATGCTGGCAGCTCTGGAAGTTGCTTGCCAGCTGAGGGAGCGCAGCAGTGCCGTGGGGCTGTGATCAGAACTCTGCCTGGTTATGAGCAGCACGTGGTTCGCGATGTTGTGTGCATCTATGAGGGCGATGTTCTCAAGCAATCTGCCTGTTGCTTTGCAAATTCAAAGAAAGGGTTTCAGCACAGAAATGTTTTAATGAACAAAATTGCAAACACAGAGTTAAGGAGTTGTTCTAGAAGCCTGTGTGTTAGTAAATGGAAAGAACTGTCAAACCATGGTTAGCTCAATATGCTCGGTAGATATTTTTTCAGAACCTATTTAACCTGGCCACAATGTTTTTGCAGCGGGAGAGGAGTGGGTTAAGACCCATGAAATCAATGGAATATGTGACTGGTTTATCCCCGTATCAGCTCCCCATCATTAACAATTATGTGAAGCCAGTGCCGCCTCCCCCCCTGCAAAAAGGAGACAAGAGTGTGAACGCAACGAGAAACGGGGTGCCCAGAGGGAGACGATTTCGTTCCACCACTGCACCAAATGGTGCTGAGCAACTTTTAGTAAAGGTGAGTTAACTCTGTCCGCTTCTCTGTGTGCCGGTCATTGCCTTCCTCCTTGCCTAATGCTGAAAGATGTGTGTGCCTGGTTTGCATAAAGATTCACTGAATTTTTAAATGAAAGAAAATTTATAATTATTAAAATATATAACTGCCACCCATCTCTCTATATACTGAAACATTTGGTGTTTTTCGTTAGTGGGGGGAAAAAAGGTGCTTGAACAAAAAAACCCATAGGAACTCTTACTTCAAGCCTTCCATTGCAGTCAGTCTGATCCTGCCTCTGACCATCTCTAGGACCAGATCTGCAGAGGGATTCATGAAATGCCTTGGGTGTACGAAAATGTTGTCTGTCAGACTGTATCTACAGCCAGCTCTGTCTCCTGTAAAGGAAATTGTAGGGACCCAGGACTGGGAGGGATGATACGGGTCATTAAACGTGGTCCCTGCAATTTCAGGCAATTCAATGCAATGGATTTTCAGTTCAGAACATTTTCCTGCCCTTCTGCATGTTACAAAACACTTTCCAACTGAAGCAGCTTGAGGCCTGTCTTAGAAGACTGGAAGCCTCACGTGTACATGGGACACATATGATCTTTGAATTCGCCTTTTGCTGGAGGCGGAAGCTGAATGCACTTTTTGTGTATTTCCTGCTGCAGAATTCTGGAGGATTCCCTAGGCCCTCGTTACGCAGCAACGCATTTGTTACCATGGTCTTTCTAGGAAAAAGTGTGCATTTATCTCACGATGGTGCCGATTACAGAGATGAAATCAAAGTCTATCAGCAGCACTGTGGAGGAGAAAACCTTTGTGTCTACAAAGGCAGGCTGCTGGAAGGAGGTGAGGATAAAGAGTCAAAGAGTTCATCTTGATTCTGGCAACATCTTTTTTTTTTTTTTTGGCTAAAATGCTGATGTGATATCAAAATGATTTCAGCTGAGCTCAGTCAAGATAGATGTATTCAGGGATTTTTATACCACCTGCCTCCACACTAAATCTGGATCTGCTGTTTCACGATCGAAAGTGAGGTTACAATTACTTTTGCAAATTATGGTAGAAGGAATTTAGAGAACTGATTTAACAGAATACTGTAGCTTAGATTAATTTTGTGTAGAGATGCATGGGTAATAAAGTGGTTGTAGCAGTAAACTGTGTTTAAATGGGGGTTAACTGTTTCTGACCTGCTCTAATACGTCAGTGCACGTCGCTTATTCCAGAAGGAGAAGTGCTTATAGGGAGCCCAACTCCCGTCTCTGTTATGTGAGTGCAATTCCGTCACACCAGTAAAAGGTGAACTGTCTTCTGGAAAACTGGCAAGAGGAAATGTCTGGGAGATTTTAACTTGTGAGGAGGAGTGATTCCACAGGTTGCACCCCTCACTCCAGCCCACAGATCCCACTGCGTTTGCATTTGAATTTGCATTTCCACTGGGCGTGGGAAGATGGTGCAGAGACCTCCGCACGCCAGCCTGTCCCCTGAGGCTGTGGAGGAGAAAACCTGTGTGTCCACGAGGCATGCCCACCGCTGGTGTCGGGGCGTTTGCTGCAGCCCTGTCCCAGCTGTGCAGGAGGTGTCCTTACTGTGTGCTCCTGTGGTCCCGACCCCATTCACACCTATCGGGGAACGTGCTGGAGCACATGCAGCTTCCTCCTGCTGCGTGCTCGGTCGAGTTGGGAAGGAGGCTGTGACCCGTGAGCAGAGGGAGCACAGCCCTGTCCCCCGCACGGAGCGGGGCAGCAGCCTCGGTGCCCAGCAGTGCCCTGCCCCGTCCCCTGCACAGAGCGGGGCAGCAGCCTCGGTGCCCAGCAGTGCCCTGCAGAGGAGCAGAAGCGGCTCCAGGAGCAGCATCATGCAGCTGCTCCGTGGTGCTGTGTGTACAACGGTGTCACCGCAGCCCAGAACCCCCGGCGCTGTGTCTGTGCTCGGCTGGAGCCCGGGCTGTGCACGGCGAGGTGCTGCCCTGGGGAAGGCGCGCATTGCGCTGCCGGAGCGCTGCACCGTGCGCTGCACACCGCAGGGATCCTGCAGCTGCCGGTGCATGATGCACGCTCCGCGGTGTAAGGCAAGGGGCAGAGCGAGTGTTTTGGAGAGGGGAGGCTCTAGTCTCTGCCCTGCTGCAGCCGTGGGCAGCCCAACTGACGGCGTGTTTGCTGGTCACTGCTGTGCCCAGCCTGGTGCTGGGGTTGGAGAGAGGCAGGGCTGTTGTGTGGGGGGGACACGGAGAACCCGACCAGGGAGGGCTGGGTGCTTTGGCGGAGATGCAGATGAGATACAACAACTGCAATGGACTGGCAGTAGGGCAGCTCAGCCTTTCTCTTTGAATCCTTTCTGTGGTTGCAGAGACCTTTCAGTTTGTCTCCAAGAGGCACCGTGGCTTCCCCTTCAGCCTCACCTTTTTCCTCAATGGGATACAAGTGGACAGGCTGAGCTGCTGCTGCGAGTACAAGCATCAGAAGCGCTCCAGACTGGGAGGCAGACACAGATACTTCGGGTTTCTCAGTGTGGAGGGAGCATCTCCTTGCTACAGGTATGGAGACAAATGCACTTTGCTCACAAGGACTTGGCAGCCCAGCTTTTAGAGAGTTCATCACTTGTTTCCTCTTTTTTCAACTTTCTGGCACCCCACAGCATTCTAGAACCTGGTCTGTTTCTGAGCACCCCTTGAAATGTGCAGAACTGAGCTTGTCCTCAGGGTCTCCCACCCGAGGAAGCCCTGGAGGCTGGCTGCCCTGTGCTGGCTGTGGAGCACACGCAGCAGCGGGCAGGGTTTGCACCGGAGCTCTCGGCTCATCCTCAAGAGCTGCGGGAGGAGGAATAGGCGTGGGGCGGTATCCATGTGCCACTGGTGTGTTTCTAGTGGACCTGGTAGTGAAATAGTTAACTGCAGTTTTCAGGGTTTTCTTTCTGATTGTGAGGACAAGATAATTCATTTTTGAACAGCTCTGCCTCTAAGGAGGGATTCTGCTGCAGCACCCCTGGCTGCAGAGTAAGTCAGTATAGGGTGTCAGCCGTGTTTCAGACAACAAATCTGTGTGGAGGACTCTTGGGTTTGGGCAAAAGTCAATGCTGTGAGCAGCAGCTGTGGCTTTGCCAAGAGGCTTTAATTCCTATTGTGTGATTGTGAAGTCATGCCAGACAAGTAAACTTCTGCACACGTGGATAATTTTAAAACTTTTGCTTTTTTTGTAGTTTTTAGAAGAACAGTTGGAAGAAGAGAACCTCCACAGAGCTGCACTCTTTTTTATATAAGGACCGAATTCTTAGGGAAAAATTCTACTTGATTGTGCACTAATTTTTCTACTCCAATCTAACATTGACCGTGATTTACATAAATTTGTTACTTAGTATGTGCAAAGTAGTGAAAAGCTGCTGAATTCTGAATGGATATAGTGGCTGTAGAGTTTAGAAAATGTCCAAATCTCCAAGGTCCCTGAAAAAAACCCACAAACAACTAATGAAAAGGTAGGGCTCTTTTCAGAAATTGTCAGGTTTACGTTTTATGTCCACAAAACTAAAGGGTTTCTAGAGTGAGCGGCTGTAGGATGTTCACAGCAGCTTGTAAGAGCTGGAGCGTGAGGGTTGGCAATAGAGCCGTACACAACTGTTAACCTGTCTGCTGCCCTCCCTTCTTCGCAGAGAGCAAAATGCGATGCTTTCCAGTTCTCCTTGGTTTGTCATAGGTGCATTATTGCCATGGGTCTGGACAAAACGCTGTCCCCTCCCAAGAGAAAGGTGGACCGTGAGGAAAAGCCTGTGGGTTCCTGGAGAGACGGAGCACCCAGTGAGCCCGGTAAAGGCGGAGCTGAGCGGAAATCCAGCAAAGATTCTGTGGTAGTCATCCTACCGGGTCATGAAGCCGGCGTGGAAACTGTTGAGGGCAAAAGGGAGACTGGACAGGAGGACAGAGGAGAAGAAGGGAAGAAGCTGTCTGATGGTGAGAGTGAAGACAGTCAGGAAGACGCCGGCAGAACGGGTACAGTGTTCCAGTGAGCAGCAGGGGATGGGAACTGGGAGAGGATGGCTCTGGGGAGGGCGTGGGACCCGAGCCTCCGGCTTCGCCTGCAGCATCCTCTGTTGGGGCACCTTGTCTGTCAGGAATGTGGGGATGCTGTGTCTGGGCAACGCAGTCAGCGGGTCTCCTTCCAGCCCAGCAGCGGGGTGAGGGGGTTTTGCGAGAGCCGAGGAAGTGGGTGAGGGAGGGACGGCGGCTCAGCCCCCACCTGCCTTGCTCCTCGCTATAAAGCCTTTCGCAGAGAAAGTCATATTTAGAGAGAGATTTTAATTCCTCCTTCCTATTCCCATTTTTCCTTCCATAATTGTGCCATGCCAGTGCCCAGATTCCTCGTTAGTCCCCGGGGATGTCTGTGACTAATCAGTTGTCCCTCCCGGAGGTGGCACCTTTCAGGCAGTTACCTAAGGAAGCCCCACTTCCAATAATGCCGTTGGGATCTCAATTGATTTTTAACGCAGAAACCAAATCTCCTTGTTCCCTTAATTCTCATTGTCTGGGTAATTGTTTGTTGCCTAATTGGTTCTGCATCGGATACTCTTCATTCCTGTCCTTGGCATTCTGTCATGGGTGGAAAGAGAAGGAGGTGAGCAGTAAATCTGGAAGGTGAGAAGTGACGGCCGGGAGGGACAGCGGTGTGTCGGCAGTGGCAGGTCCCCTTCCCCATTTAGTCTGTTCCCTCTGTGCCGCGTGTGCAGTGAGCCGCTGGCAGCAGTGGGATTACTGGAAACCAGCGACATCGCTGCGCGTGCTGGCACTGGGGTTTTCATCAGCGCAGCCTCGGCTGGGAAGGGAAGGGTTCTCATGCATGTGCATGAAGAGAGTCCTTACCTACAGACCTGAGCAGAGTTCTCTATCCAGCTTGTCAGGCTGGCAGCCCGGGGTGGAATCCAGACCCTGCGGCTGTAAAAATGGTAATTCTGCCGCAAGGTTCGTTTGTGCGAGGATTTCACCTGGGACCTGGGGGAGTCTGTTAGAACGGTGCGACAACAGACTGCTCATCCGCAGCACCCTTTGGCTGGATTTCGTTAATTCATTTAGTTTGTAAGCCACTTCTTTGCTAATTAGCCATGTCAATCCACATTCATCTTCCTTTGCGGTAAAATATATTACCTTTCTCCAGCTTTCTTTATTGCTTGTATTTTTTTTTGTTGCAACAGGTTTTTCTGCTGTAGTAAGAGACTCTCTTGCATTTTATATCTGTTTGCCCAACTCTTAATTTTTTTTCAGTCCTTTCAGCGTCTAATGATTTTGTTTGTTTTTAATGTATTAATTGTACTTAATGCTTTATTCAGTAGCTTTGCTGCATTTGTGCTACTCTACCTGTGAAGAACACGATGCTTTTTTACGATAATGTTCCCCTATGATTCCTATCTGTGGTCTTAGATTCTCTCATGGCTTTAAAAAGACTGAGCAAATGCGAAGGCAAAAGAAGAGTAATGAAGTTAACCTCCGTCTGCTTAAAAAAAACTTTAGTAGTTGCAAATTCTGTTTCCTGTCTCACAGCACGTTTTTTTTTTTTTTTTTATTTTAGAGTATGAGGAGGATTTTGAAGCAGATGAAGAAGTTACTGAAGAGGGACAGACCAGTGATCAAGTGAACGGAATGTCAAAGTCACCCTCAGATGGTAAAACCCACAATTCAGACTGTGAAAAGGAGAGTAAAACCTCACCACAAAAGGCACGGCTGGCCTCTGCCAGTGAAGAAGATGAAAGGGATGGATATTCCAACAGTGACTCCGAGGATGATAAACAAGGTTAGTTTTTTCCATAATGAGGCTTGCAGAAGTTAACCTGATGCGCGTTGTGTGGCCAGTATGCATGCTGAGTTGGCATAGGAAAAACCATGCAATTCCTACGGAATTGGGATGAGACGGCTTTTTATCTGCTGCTGATGCTGCCATCTGTCACTGAAATACAGCCAAACCCACTGCTCCAAGCTGTGCATCTTCATAAATCATCCCACAGAGGACTTGCAGGGAATTTCTTGTTTATTGGACAAACAATAGAATTCCATTCACCACGTGGGGAATAGTCAGCAGTGAACTGCCTCTTCCCTGTGGCACAGTGTTTTATTGCTCTCTAACCTTTCTGGGGCTCTCTTAGATCCTTACATGTCTCTTACTTGTCATAATGTACCAGGATTTCTCCATTTACTGCTGGTTTAAAATTAATTATTTTGTATTCCTTACATTTGACCGTCCTAATGTGCAAACTATTTCCCAAGTTAAATGGAAGCATCATTTTCACACTTGTGTTCCTAGGTGAACTAAGCAAAGGCAACACAGCTATTTGTGAAAAGGCTGCAGCTGCAAGAAAGATCCAGTCTTTTTACAGAAAGTATAAAATCCAACAGAAATTCAAATCAGGTTTGAAACACCCTTGCTTACAAAATCATTGCAGTGATCAAAAATAACCTTAATTTTTGTTTTCTCCTGATAATCAGAAATAGCTTGTGATCCATGAATAATCAGTCCAATTAGGCATTATTTTCTGCTTTTTAGTGTATAACATCACGAACTTTTCTGTGATTTTAATCATCTGCTTCTCAGGCTCTGGCAGTGTATGGCAGTGTATGATGATCAAGGGAAAGGTGTGTTTGGGTGGAAGGGAGCAGGTCTGCCCTGGTTCACTTTTGCTGCTACTGGGGTGTAGCGGCGCCTCATGTGCCGAAACTATTCAATACACGTTTTTCTGTGACGAAGAGGAAAGGCTGTCGGGAAGCCATCAGATTTTGAAATATGGATGTTTAACATCACCCATGAACAGTGTAGAACAGCTCGCCATCCCGGCAGAGCTCCTCGCCCATCGGCCGACAGGTGCTGCCGGTGTTTTCCAGTTTGTATTTGCCGTGGCTTGCTTTGTTCTCCCTTACTGCAGCAGCTCAGGACACACGTTTGCATCATTCACATTCTCTGTGGTTTTGAATAAGACAGGTTTAATCATTGTTGTTAGCAGCCTGATTTGCTGCTTCTGTCTTTTACATCAGCACTCTAATGCAGTGTCCATCAGTTACCACTTACGTCTCAGTTACAAGAGAAAACTAAGGAGGATTTGGGAAAATGACGACTCAGGCAGGGCGTAGGCTGTCTTGGAGAATTTCTAAATGTAAACATAAAAAGGAAAAAAAAACTCCTTAAGGGTGTGCAAAAAGGCATAACAAAAACCAATGGAGTTAAAATAAAGAAAAGCCTTTTTTAAAGGTAAACTCTTTTTAATGATTAATATCCAGATGCAGGCAGCTTCCTCACACGACTGCTGAAACATGCTGGGAGGTGGAGCTGCACTCTGTTCCTTCTCCTTTGCTACTTGTAAGGAAAATAGAGGAGTTTTCTTGAATCGATAGTCTGGCGTCTATACAAGAAGTCCCATTGATTTAGAATTGCGGTTTCCATTCAAACACACCTTCTTTGTTCTTGTTTTAAAATTAATGGGAGCAGTTGGCATATTTTAGGGAAGTTTGAGCTTCCATATTCAAACTTTTTTTTTTTTATAGCAGTCCTGCAAATTTACATTGCAGATGAAAAAGATAATTAAAAATATTATAAGAAATTGCAATGAGCATTCCTCAGATCCAGAGAGGAGGAACAGGCATAGAGGCTGCGGGAGGGTTGTCGCTGCAGGAAGAAGTAATGCGGCATGGCGTGGCTCCTGGGGCTCCGGAATAGCTGTTCAGGGACGGACCGCGGGGCCAAATTCTGCCTCTGGCCTTTGGCTGGTAGCAGGTGCCTAGGAAAGGGATAAGAAAATGGGAAGAATACTGCGCTGCTTCCCCGTGTCCTCCCACCCCATCACGAGCTGCTGTCACGGGTGGTCCTTTCACTTCTCAGGCACAACGGGGTTTTCTTTCCTGAGTTTGACTAATCTCCTCTGGAGCCCATGTGAGCTCTGGACGCCAGCGATGCTGTGCAGCAGTAAGCTCTGCTGTTCAGATAAGTGTCAGATGAAGAATTATTGCTTTATTTTTTTCCTCAGATTTTCCATTCATGAATTTCATGTGGTGGTCTCTATGATTTTTTGAGAGGAGACGGTGAACTTCATCTCCAGCCCCACCTGCACAGTGTACACATGAGTTTGGAGATCTTTGTCATATTCTCTGGGATAAGAGGAGTGCGCTAAAGGAGTGTCACTGTGGTTGAATCATTTATCAAACAGAGCCCAAGAAACTCTTGTAAAACCTGTCTGAGTCGTATTTAGAGGTGCTTTTGGAGGCGCATTTCTGTGATTGATGGCGCTAATCTGGTTCATTCCCATTATCGGAAAAAATATGTTAAATAGCTTTGATTTTAACGCTTTGATGTATCTGGGCAACGTTTTTCTACTGCACTGCCTGGGGTTTTGTCACGATATCCTCAGATGGTGTAATTCAGAGAGTGGTATCAGATGAGCGTCTGTCTCTTTGTGCATGGCAAAGGGAACTAGTGGCCAACGAACGCGGATGTTTTAGTGACAAATACTAAAACAGAATTATGTTTGCTGTTTCTAGATAAGGGGTCCGCACGCTTGCTCTCATCCGTCAGTACTCAGTGTAGCAGTGAAGATGACTCTGGGACTGAAACGATGGAAGACAGCGCAAAGGGCCAAGAGGAGAATGGTATGAAAAGGACATCTGATACCGCAGCACGGCCACGACATGGAGATGGGAACGGGGAGAAGAAACTGCTCAGGATGGGGGAGAATCAGGAGACTTTTGGACTGGAAAAAGAAGGAACAGATGAAGCAGAAAAGGCAAAACCAGAAGATCTAACAGCAAGGGAAGATACTGGAAATTTTAATGGAAAGATAATGGAAGTACAGCATCGAGGTCCTGAAGTCAACAGGGAACTCAGACGGGCTGGGTCAGCGGAACGCAACGCTGGGGAGGATGGGGAGAAGGGTGCGAGTGCCAGGAGGGATGACGGGGAGGAGAGTCTTCTGGTGCCTTTGGAAAGCAGGGCGATGGAAGGGGGGGAGAGCCGTGAGGATTCTCCTTGGAGGGACGCAGGAGATGGTGAGTACAGACCCTCTGCATGGTGTGAGTGGTGGTGCATGCCCGTGGTGCTGCGTGTGCCTCTGCACCAAGTCGCGGTGTGCTGTGGGGAATGCTGGTCAACTACTAGAATGCTCTGTGCTGCTGTCAGCTAAATTCAAAAATTTCAGGATGTCTATAGTCTTAAAAGAAAAGCCAGTTGGTTACAACTCCCACTGCTCCAGTCCCCAAACAGCCGAGGGCTAAAGCCTCCCGAGGCACCGCAGGGCTGGCGGGGCTCAGTCCTTTCCTGCCGCTGCAGAATGGGTTCTTGGTCCGCTCTGGGGCTTCCCCGGTTTTTCCCCATGAACTTCTCTGTAGGGCTGGTGATTCTCATCAGCTGTCCAGCCTGCGTTTGGATGAGGCTGATGTGGCACTGCTTTGGTTCTGCCCCGCTAAGAGCTGTCGCGCTCTGCTTGGGATGGGATTTCTCCTACCCAGCGCTGTCATTAGCAGGGCAGAACTAATTTATCAGAGAAAATCGTCTATGCAGAAGAAGGAAGAAGGTGCAAACCGCTCCTCTGGGGTTGTTCAGCAGCAGGCTGAGGCTGGGCAGATCACAGCCGGTGGTGTGACAGGATCTGTCTGAAGTAAGGAGATGCCTGGGACGGGCTCCCGCTGTGCGCTCTCTGATCTTGCTGCACTCTTTGTGACAAGGAGATATTGCTCATCCCAAGAGAGAGAATCACTGCCGGCAGTATTTGTCATCCTTCCCCGGGCTCTGTGTTTTGATAGACTGTCGGGTTTCCCTTTTGTCAAGCGTTGCTCAGGCAGTAAACTGCAAAGAATGGGACCTGCCAGCTCGTCAGACGTCAGAACTGTTATCAGGTCAAAGTCAAATCCATGCACTGTCCCTCGCAGAGCACGCGGTCGCTCAGCGAGCTGAAGAAAGTGCTGCCTGCGCTTCTGCGCGACGGGTGTCCTGGAGCTGAAAGCTTCTTGTCTCCTCTGCAGAGCCGAGATGTCAGAATGGTTCAAACAGGCTGTGCACCAGCGCACGGGCACCTTTGGCAGGATCTGGGGTCCCAGGAGGAGCCTTATAGACATCCTCCTGCGAAGTGCCCTGCCCAGCTTTCACGGTTCCCTGCACCCAAGTGCAGTGTGACACCAAGGCGTGAAGCCACCACTGCCCCTGGGGACCTGCGGCGTCGGCACAAAGGTGTTCATGCGGAGCAGGTGCCTTTTGTACCGCCGGCTGAAATGGTTTAAAAATGTTCTCACAGGGCTGTTCAGAGCCGTGTGGGCGCAGGGACTTCGTACCGCCATTGTTTAGCATGACTAGCCTGAAAGCCGTTCACCTGGTTATCCAGGAACTCATAAAGCAAAAATGGAACTGAGAGCACAATCTTAACAATAACGTCAAATGTATGACTCGACTGTGAAGCATCGCAATCTCTGCATTTACGGAGCAGAAAATACTTATTTATAGATAAGCATAGGTTAGTCTGGGGAACTGAGGAATCATCGGAAATGTAGCTGGGAGCTTAACATAGAATTTTTTTTTTTTTTGTAAAAGTAGTCATGGAACAATAACGATTTTGTGTCTATAATACAATGTTGTTGTTTGTCTGTTGAACCCCCCTCAGACTGCCTGACAAAAGCAGTCTCACCGTTTTGTGGAAACGTTGTGGAAGATGGCTGCTGTATGTTTCCGTAGATGCTCCTGCATGAACTTTCCCTTGGGTTTTTAACGGTGGTCTCCATTTGGTTTTAATCTACTTAAAAAAATCACTGCTGGTGAAGACTGACATGGTTCCAATCAGGTCTGCCCTAACATTTCAGAGTTTAAACCAAGCTGAGACAGCTGGGTGACTTTTGCTCCCCCTTTGCTTTTTAATGGTTTCTCTTTCTTGCCTCCTCTTTTGTAACCTCGTGATCGTTTTTGAAGATTGCAAACCAGTCCAGGAGGAGATAGCAGAGGCAACTGGAAATGATAATCCTGTGAATTCGGAACCTGAACCTGGTGATTCCTGTGCCAATGAGGAAGAAGAGAACGTAGCAAGTAACGTTATGTACGATGCCAGTGAAGGTGAGGTTGGCCGTTGATCAGGGACATGGATTAAAACTTATTCATCTGAAGTCTTTTAATAACAGCCTTTCACTTTCCCTTGTAGGCTAACAAACCTCCCTTGTGCTCTTTTCTTTCCTGCCTTCTATAAAATTGGGTGATGACTAGCTGGCCTCTCAAGATGGGCAGGATGAGTGTGGTTGTGTAGGATGGGAGCGGCAGGCGAGGAGGGAGCTGAGCTGCAGCTGTGATCTCCATGATGGTCCCCGTTTGTCCCCAAACTCTCAGTTAACAGTTGGCATAAATGGCAGTGAGGAAATTTCAGCTTGATCTTGCTTTCCTCAAAGAATGTTTCATTTTGTTCCAAAACTTCCATTAGAAATTTTTTAAATGATTACATTTACCGATTCTGATAGCGGGCCTGAGCTCTCCCAGATTGAGGAGGTTTGATTTTCGGTGTGAGTGCAGTAAAAGTATGATAGGGATTGATAACTGATATATATCTACAAAAGAAGAAAAAATGTAAAATATAAGTGACAGAAAGCTAGTTGTAAACATAAGCAGCAAACCTGGTGCAAGATGCATCTTGGACGAAGGCAGGATTTCCTGTATTGCAAAGCACAAGACACTGCTCCTTGCTCCTCTCAGTGGCACAAAGCCTCTCATTTTCCGAAGGATAGGATCCTGCCACGTTGGTACAAACCCCGGTGCAGCAGCACAAACTGCCGGCGTGCCTGCCCGAGGACAGATCCTGAGCACGGAGTGCAGGGAGGACGCTGCTGTTAAATTCCCAGGGGGCGGGAATCGACCCTGGGTTATTCCCCTGGTGTGATTACAGAACCCCCAGGCAGCGATTACCCGTTCTACATGAACAGCGGGGTATTCTTCTTCCTGGTGTTCATCATTTACATGAGCAATTTACCACCTATTTTGGGATTTTGGGATGCTCCTGCCAAGCTTCCCGCTGTCTTCTGCACATGCCCGAGCTCCCTGCGAGGCAGGCGAGGGCAGGAGGCGAGCAGGCAGGAAAGCTGGTCGTGCATCAGCACTTTTGCTCAAGCTAGTGACGCCAGGTGCCAGAGCAGCAGCACTAGGAACACAGTCAGAGCACGGGGGCATGACGAGAAGCAGCATGGCAATTTTTCTTCTCGTCACCGTGCTGATGTCCCTTCATGGCTTGGGAGAGACGGCGTCTTTGGTAATAACCCTGTAAAACAGGTCTAACTAACACAGCTCTCAATAAAACTAACGTTTTGATCATTTCCCAACAGCAGCAGGTGGAGCTTTCCTGGCAGAAGGAAGAAGGACGCTTGGTGTGCAGAAGGCAGCAGAGCACGTGGCCAGAGAAGGGCAGGTGGCAGGGGAGAAGGAAGATGTCGTGGCTGCGGGAGGAGATGCTCACACCGAAGGGGCAGGAGGAGGAATGGCACGGGCGGGAGATGCGCTGCCTGAGGAACAGACTGTGGCTGTGGTGCCGGCGGAGGGTCCGCTTGCGGTGGAGGAATCTGCACCCGGGGAGAGCACCGTGGCAGAGGAAGATCACAAAGGGAAGGGGACGGGAAGGGGAACGGAGCCTGGCGCAGAGGTGGCACCCGGGGAGCAGGAGGCTCTGCTGGAGGGGACGGAGAGCGAGGTGGGGATGGGAGAGCTGGGGCCAGGGGGAGTGGAGCTGGCAGGGGCAGGGGCACCACTGGGCAGGGGGGC